TTGAATGCTTCTCCACATCTTTTCAAGGGGTCCTACTCTTACCAAGCCTTACGCTTGTGTGTATGTGTTGAAGGGGGAGCCAGAGACGATTAGAGCTCTGGTGCAACTCAGGCTATACCAAAGGTGCAGCACTGTCACAGGAACTGAAAGAGAGCAGTCATGGCCTAACATGGGACCCAGTCTGTTCCTGGAGGGCAATTTTACAGCCTGTCAATGGTCCAGCATACCTATTTTACCCTGTGACCCTCACCAAAAAGCAAGCCCAATTTAGAACCCTTTTAGAACACTCATTGAGATAGGTCTGCACCTACAAAAGCTTAGGGTTGGTCCAAATCTAAGTGTATCAGTTGTGTGCTTCAGACAAGCCAGGCACGTGCGTACAACAAAATTCCCGTGGTCTCCTCCCCCAGCTAAGTTGATGCCTACAATGAAAGTGACTTCCTGCTGTCTCCCACGCAGCACCCATCACCTGTGAGCTCCCTGCCACTCGGTTCTTATCAACTTGAAAGGTATTTTTGTCGTCCTGGGGTGTAGTAATTTTGTAATGTGTTTGTGGGTGTTCGAGCTTCCGTGTCTGACGCTGCAGCCTCGCAGAGGTTTGTGGAGCACTGCTCCATGTGTGATCGTGCTACCTTGCTGCTTAGTTCTGTTCTTGTTCCCCTCAAGAAGTTGCATGTTGTGAACACCAGAGCTGTGGTTGATAACTCTGTGAGAGGAGAATTGTGTTAGTGTGATTCACGTTGACTTGATAAATACTGACTGGGTAATTTCAGATGTGTCTCTTACACTCTGCATAAATTTGCCTTTCTGTGCAACTATTTATTCCTCAGGGTGTGCGAACTCAAAACATATGCTATGTCCTATTACTGGTGGTGTGCCTGTATTTGTTATATGCCATCCAGGAGTACTGGGGTTTTCTGTTCTTTCCTGGCAGGCTGGCGCAGGGACTAGCCCCATGTGTGTGTCAGCTCTGCCTTGGCCGTCTCTCCCTTTTACTAAAGATGTGCATTTATTAACTTCACATTAATTAATGCCAGGGGAAACCTCAGGGAGGTCAAAGCAGTCTGTAGCTTTCCTGCAGAAGAATGTATTGAGGCAAAGGAGGGAGATGAAGTTGAGAACTTGCCTTCATCTGAAAGCTGGAATTTCGCCTCATGGTCATTTTCCTCCACCTCTCTTGCTGCCCAGTGATGAAGAGGTCTGGGCACTGTAACATGGTTTCATTGCCTGTACAGTTCTCAGTAAAGAAGTCATTAGTACCAATGGATTCATCTTTCCTGATGGCTTCTCTAGGATATGACTCTGTATCCCAAAATCACTGAGGGCTTATGGAGCAATTGCCCGCTACTAGGAGGTTTTCCTGCTGTACGAGAGGCAGGGTCAGTGTGGAATGGGTTTGTGTGTATTTCATTCCTAGTTTCTCAAGAAAGTCTGTAGTGCACAGATTTTTACTTTCCCCATGCAAAAATATTCCTTGGAACAGAAGTACATGTGGAAAGGAGAGTACACTTGGATTCTGTGGGAACTGTGGGGAATAGCTTTGTGTTTGGACCCATGGAAATCTATTGTTCAGTGCACACTTGATGCTGTGGGCCAGCGTGGTGTGCCAGCATGATTTCTCTTCCTCATATGCGCTCTGAGAAGTCCAAAGTGATACTGTGCTCTGCAGTTGGAGAGCTTGTTTATCTGCAGGCTGAAAGGAGCAGCTGTGGTGGCCCCACAGACCTCAGTCGCAGCCCATGCTGTGCATCAGCCAGTCCACACACTGCTTGTCCTGCTGCTGGGCTCTCCCACTGGCTTGGGGCTGGTCACTCCTTACATTGTCTTAGCATCCGAGGTTCCCATCGTGTGTGTTCGCTGCTTCTGGGAAGAGAGTTTCCATTACTGCCTCCCTGTGGGATGGGAAGAGTGGTTCTTTCGTTAGGGCAGCTGGGGCCCTGCTTATCCAGGGAGACTGAGGAAACTGCATCTTGTCTTCATGTGCTCAGCTGTGCCAGCAGCACTGCCCGTGAGACACTGCCCCTGCAGCTCCTGCCTGGGCAGTTCCCTTTCCTGGAGTCAGCACGATTGCATGGCTCATAGACAGCCTCTACAGCACATGACCTTGGGTGTCCTGCCCAAGCAAGTACACACCACAGGGCAGTTTTTGGGTCAGGCTTGTATACAAGCAGGCCCAGAGGAAAACTGCTGCGTGAGATGAATGAGGAGCTATTTGAGGCCCTGTGGTTTCCTCAAACATTGTGTGCATACCTCCAGTCCAGGGCTACATGAAGTTCACAACATACTTGGCCTTCACAAGGACCAGGTCTTTAGCTTGGGTGTACTCATTATTATGACTTGGGCCACTCAAACAGATCCTCTGGCCACCCAGTCCTGAGGTTTCTCTCTTGGATGGAGTCTATGTATGTACCAGCTGTAGAGCAAGAGCTTTGTGTCTTCTGGGTGTCTCTTCCGCTGCTCAGCCCCTGCTACGCTGCCTGGCATCCTTAGAGTTGGAACTCAGCAGTGTTCCTGCCTTGCACTTGGAATGTTGAGGGTTGTGGGGGATGTGGCTGGTGTGGGAGGAAGAAGTATTATAGGAAGTTGTAGGTGGGGGAACGCAGAAGTATTCTAGCAAGATGTTGTGGAGTATATTGCAGTAGGATGAGTGAGGACCGGGGGTGTCTTGTTGTAGAGAATGGGTGGCTACTGCCTGGTGTTGATAAGTAAGGGGCCTTTGATAGCCTGTGTACCTGCTTGAGGTTGGCTCTGTGGGTTTGCATCCCACTAAACCCCAAGCTTCTGTCTCTCTCTTGCTTGCCCTGGCTTTGAGAGATCTGAAAGTTGTGCAGTAAACTACTGTAAATGTGGGCTGATTAATTTGAACCTCAGGTTACCAGCCCTACAGGTCTGATCCCTACCACAGTTTGGGATTTGTAACACTAATCCAGCAGGATGAAAGGCTGAGAGGATGCTGGGGCCTTTAAAAGTTGGTAGCATCCTGAATTAAGTAATGGGAAGGGGGGGGGGGG